AAGGAGTCCTGGAAGTGATGGTTTGGCCCCCACAGAGCCCTGATCTCAACATCATCGAGTCCGTCTGGGATTCCATGAAGAGACAGAAGGATCTGAAGAGATCTGTGGTTAGTTCTCCAAGATGTCTGGAACAACCTACCTGCCGAGTTCCTTCAAAAACTGTGTCCAAGCATACCTAGAAGAATTGATGCTGTTTTGAAGGCGAAGGGTGGTCACACTAAATTTTGATTTGGGTTTTTTTTTTGTTCGCTCAGTTTGCATTTTGTAAATTGATAAACATAAACGATTACAATATATTTTTTTGAAAGCATTCTTACTTTACAGCATTTTTTCACACCTGCCTAAAACTTGCACAGTACTATAGCTGGTGTCAACCCTCGATTACAATATATTTTTTTGAAAGCATTCTTACTTTACAGCATTTTTTCACACCTGCCTAAAACTTGCACAGTACTATAGCTGGTGTCAACCCTCGATTACAATATATTTTTTTGAAAGCATTCTTACTTTACAGCATTTTTTCACACCTGCCTAAAACTTGCACAGTACTATAGCTGGTGTCAACCCTATGAACCCTAATTCAATCTAGGAAGTTTAGTTCAATAATTTGTATCGCTCTGAAATGTACACCCACTCCTTGTCAAGCGATTTCCTCTGTTAGCAACCATTTGCAAATATGATGGTAATAAAACATTCATTTTCCAACCAATGCATGCATTTACGACCAAATTTTGTGCACCTGACAACACATGCCAGAGTGAGAGTAACGTTGGCATAGCTGTACAAGAGTAAAGTTGGTATAGCTGTACTTTATCTGAACGAACCAGTGATCTTTGCAGTGTCTCTTTCTTTGTCACATGTTCGCTTAGTGACCATTTTGCTTAATGACCTGGTTAATGGAATGGCACTCTTGCTAAATGAGGAGTGGGTGTAAAATGTGAAGGAGGATCCAGAATAGCTTAACTTTGTTTAAAAGGTAGATAACTTCCTTGGTTATGTTAAGATAATTTATGTTAGGGTAGCTTAAGTTTGGTAACTTCCTTAAAAAGTTGCAAACGTTCATTATTGCCATTTAATAAGAGGTTAGATGGACCATGGTCATGTATCAACAAAAGTTCTTACATGCAGGTCAGTATATCTCAAAGGCATTAGGACAGAGAAAATTCCTAAATGACTTGGAGCCAGGTTAGCTGAAGGGCTGCTTATGTTCTCTGGGTGTCTTTTAAGTTCTAGTCACAGCTTTAGAATTACTTTCTCAGTCAAGTCCATATTTCCTTATTCACTTGTCATTAGAAGAATTTTAAAGATTAATTGATTGGGTACTATGTTTTTAATTAAGGGGGCTATTGCTTAGCTTGTATAATCCATAATCCACTGAATACAGCCCTATGACTTGAGTATTTACTGTGTTTTGTATTTTAAAATACAATGTAATTCCCTCTGAAATTAAATACCAGCCTACAGCAAGAATATGCAAAGTACTACAAGCTCAAAATAGCCATTTTGAGTGTAATAAGCTTGGAACAAAACATTTTGTGCTCAATCATCTATCCCAAGTTCATTGCAAAATGGGCACTTTGTGCCAAGTTCTTTCAAGTATCGGGATGTCAAGAGATTGGCTTGCATTTTTTTTAAATTGCTAAGTCATGGAGACTTGCAGAATCCATGAGTCAATAAAAGAGAAAACATGGGGAGGGGGTGTATTAGTCAAGTTCAGTCATGTTCAGAAATTTGCCTAATAAATAAACTGGTGTTTTTAAATGTATTGCTATCAGGAAATTAGTTCATGCGTTATAATGATATTGCCTGTGGGCTTCACTTCTGCTGGTGGTGTTTTTTAGGCAGGTTTCCAGATACAAGAATATGCATAGTACCTATGCATTACACACAGTGTTGTTCTGTTGCTGAGTTTTCAAGACTGCCACACACCATACTGCTTGGTTGCCCGATCTAGTGGGCAAGGACAAATACAAAAAGTGCGCACTGCATGCACAGCTTTAAGCCAATAGCCAGAAATGTGTATTTCTGCTGGTGCTATGCTGGTCTTAGAACGTGTGAGGGAGCATCTTCTAGATATACAGACTTCAACTCTCACAATTCTCAGCAATGGCCATGATGATTAGAATATTCTGGCACTTTAAGCCAAACATATGCAGGTCTCCCAGTCTGGGAAAGGCTTTATAGTGGAACACTTGCATTTTGCACTGTATTCAGTTGAAGTACATTCAATATGGAACATCCCAACAGAACATTCTGAACGTTTTCATTTTGCATAGACTTTTTGCTATAGATCCATTACATAAAATAAAAAGGAGATGATGCTGACATTACTATAGCTGCTATTGGTTCCACCACTCCAGGATATGAGAACTGAGGCTAGGCAATGCTACTTTTCTACAATGGAGCCACAGATAGTCCTCGAGTTACATCCATTTGTTCAGCGACTGCTCAAAGTTATGATGGTGCTGAAAAAATGGACTTACGACCGGTCCTTGAAGCCCGACATTGCAGTGCCCCACGGTCACGTGGTAAGAATTTGGGCCTGCCCGCATTTACAACTGCCCCCCCCCCCCGCTTCCTGCTGACCTTTGCTGTTTTCTTTGCCTGGGAAGAGGTAGGAG